GTGGGATCATAGCGTGGAATTGCGCAAGGTACCCTATCCAGAAAAATATTGCAGAGCAACCGCATCCGATATGAATGTAGTGATAAATAGTCGGTTTAAAGATGATGTGTTTTACCTGGATCACGCGGTCGATGGTAACCCACTTTTTCCCGCTACCGGTTACCTCTTGTTGGCCTGGCGACAATTAGCGGCATACGCGGGAAAATTGTGGTATAAAGTACCTGTCATATTTGAGAATGTTCAACTGAAACGAGCTACGTTTCTAACAGATAATAAGGATACTAGACTTACAGTGAGGTATTTTCCGTTGACAGGTACAATTTTAAAATAAATTAATTTTATTTATTTAATTTAACAATTACATGGTAATTGACTTTAAACCACAGGTAGACGCATTCAGACCAAACAAAGTATTATAATTTTATAATTAAATCATTTAATAATTATAATTGTTATTACATATAAATAGCTCTCTCAGGACTACCAAAATAAGAGAGAGAGAGAGAGAGAGAGAGAGAGCTATTTATATGTAATTACAATTATAATTAGTAAATTATTAAATGATTTAACTATAAAATCTTTAAAATACTTTGTAAAAAAATTTTAAAATTTAATTTACCGGTATTGTAATAATTTAAAACTAATAGAGCTCTCTCACTTAGTCTGGGTCTGGGTCTGTCTAGGTTTTAACGTCTATTCCAACTACATGGGAATTGTACTATATACTATTATATTGATATTTTCCTAGATGACTTTGGTATCTACGAGAACGATAACCTGTGTTGTGTCGGCAAAATCAGAGCACCGGGCGATGACGTACTGGTAGCTCAACACAAAATCTACGAAAATGAGACAAACCTTTCTAAGTGTGAGTACATACTGGAAAGGGATGACATCTATAAGGAACTACGGATACTGGGCTTGGATTACGGGCCAGAGTTTCGGCGCCTCCTAAAAGTCGGCACAAATGACTACAAAAACTTTTACGCATTAAATGAATGGACCGGCAATTGGGTCACGTATATGGACGCCGTGTTACAGTCCATGGCGTTAGCCTTGCCTTTCCGTAAGCTAATGGTGCCGGTTATGATAAGAAAGCTACGAGTTGACCCACGGGTACTGTACGATGCAATTAATCGGAACAGGGTAGACAATATTACAAGTCAGTCACATGACCAGGAACAAATATTGTCATTAAATGAGATTGGTTTAAATAAGGATGTTGTTAATGATGATGTTGGCACAGTAAACACGCTACTGGAAAATGAAATGGATAAGTTTAAGGAACGTTTCGCAATATACCCAGCTAATATGCCACTGTATTTTAACATGGACACAAAGCACCTGGTGGCTCAAGGTATCGAAGTGGAACAGGTGCTGGCGTTCCCCATACCTCGTAGGGTAGATACCGTTGACTTGGTGCTAGACTCAGCTGAGTTTTGTGCCAATGATGACCCGGCGGCTATTGATGAGAGCATGAAGGCTAGTATTATGAAGTATTTAGAGGTAAAGTCATTTTTAAAACTTTTTACAGTCATGATAATATTTAATGAATCTAAAACGGACTCTATCTAATGAAGTTTTACCTTATAAACTTTATGATTTCTATTAATCACATTTATAGTTTTTATATTAAAAATAACCATAACGCGAAATTCGTTTTTTGGGAAAATAAATATTTTTTTGTTTTATTTAAATTAAATTAATCATATCATTTTAAAATTAATAGTAAAATATATAATAGGTTTGCAAATCAATTGTGGCAAAAACAAAGCAAATGGGTGTCAATGAAATGAAATGTGATTTAAAATTCGAGTCGATTAGTGATGAAGTGATAGAAGAGTACAGAAATGCAAACAATGAAAATCACGTTATGTTTCGCATATTGGATAAAATGCTGTCAGAAGTCAGCGATAATAATAACAAACAAAAAATCGATAACAATAAGGATATGAAAACACTATTGAATGATATACTCGTGAATCCGGACTACGATTTGAGTCGCGATTTAATTAATCAAATCTCAAGTAATGAGCGAATGATTAGATCTCTTGTGGATATCGTTTGCGAAAACTTTGTGACAATCAGTGAGTTAATGGTTACGGAAATTAATTTAAGCAACAACATATTAGCAAAGGATGTTAATCAGTTTGTATCGCAATTCAAAATAATGCCGTTTAATGTTGGCTATACACTGATTGTGAAATCAATGCAAAATGTCGATGAAATCTATAGAGAGAAGGCAAAGGAATGGGCTGTAAATGATAACATTTGCCTTGGTCAATCACATTTTCTTATACTGAGAGACACACCGGACTTATGGACAATAGATTTGCAGACATTTCTGCAGGACTTGTATGACTCGATCCAATCAAACGGATTCCTATTAACGGTATTCCGCTATAAGTTTACGGAACCGGAGATCGCGTTGAACTCATTGAACGGTAAAACATGTCTTAATAACGACGACTTGGATTCACGCATTGATAACGTGGTATATGTTGCGAATACTTTTGGTTTCCGATTGGTGTGTACTAAATGTGATACAATAGGATCGATAGCCATGTTATTAAGAAAAACTATAGTATTAAAACACCCTGATCCTATGAATATCATTAATATAACGGGCGGTGATTATCAGCAATGGTTTGGAGTATTGCAGGAAAAACTGATTGCCGCTAAGGATGCGGACAATAAGACGGATAACGTATGGCTGATTGCCAACGACTCGTCCATTAATGGCATAATAGGTCTCATATATTTTTTATATACCTGTTGACAGCATAACATCTCTAAATGTTAAACCCGAGTAATAGATGTCAACCCGTTTTTGGTTGACTTTCCGGTTATCCAAACCAAACTGTTCCTGAATTTCTGGTATTTTTCTGGAGTCAAACCATTGAAGTCCCGATAAATCCCTGGTTTGTCCCAAATTCNTTCAATGTCAGCCCTTATAGCGATATATTGGCCAACGATTTGGTGGCGAATGTCGTGAAAGAGGGAAAAGTGGGAACTTATCGACACTTAAGACTTCCCACGGATTACGACAAATGCCTCTCAAATGGGTATCACTTGAATTTGGGACAAACCAGGGATTTATCGGGACTTCAATGGTTTGACTCCAGAAAAATACCAGAAATTCAGGAACAGTTTGGTTTGGATAACCGGAAAGTCAACCAAAAACGGGTTGACATCTATTACTCGGGTTTAACATTTAGAGATGTTATGCTGTCAACAGGTATATAAAAAATATATGACTAAGCTCGCTAAAATCACTTAAATTTTGTATCCAGGTCGCATTCCAGGAGGCCCTGAACAATTGATTACTGACTGCTCGATTGGATGCGAGTTTGCTGGGCGTAGGGCTGACACCGGGGAAAGGGTGATGGGACTGGCCATGTCAAAGGCTATATCTACGAGTATTAATGCTAATATAGATTCTATGACTACAGTTCCCAAACAATGGTCTATGGCTGAGGCGGTGACTATACTCAGCACATATAGCACCTTATGGTACGGCCTAATAAAACGAGCTAATATTAAACGAGGTAATAATTAATTCAATAAGAATTTTTAATTGTTTTTATTTAATGATCTTGGTGTTAATTTTTAATAGGGGAGAGTATATTGGTTCACTCAGCGGCTGGAGGTGTGGGACAGTCAGCTATAAACATGTGTCTCCACTACGGGTGCGATATCTATGTGACGGTTGGGACGGAAGAGAAAAAGCAATTCCTTGTGAAGGAGTATAACATTCCTGTGAACCGGATATTCAACTCAAGAGATAT